GTTAGGCGAGGGTCCACTGTATACAGTGGTCCCTCGCTTTTTGTAGTTCTTGGCAATCATAGATTTCGGAAATCATAGGGGTATTTTCGTATAAACATGGGCTCGCTTTTCATAGGTTGACTCGCGAGTTGTAGTTCGTCTGGGACGCGTACCCACGGCGTGAGCCAGGGTGGCAGCCAGTCTGGCATTGTTTACCAGTGAGCGAAGGTCCCTTCACGTGCTCCAACGAAATATTTCATAATATTCCATTTATTTTAGTGCTTGCAAGTACTAAATAAGCTACCGTGGCTCCTTATATACCCAATAACAACACAACACAACACCTCTCGTGGCATATATAATGACTTATTTTATTCATTCTAGAGTATATTCCATGTTTCTATGTTATTAGTATTGTTTATGTCATATTAGTTGAATTGTGATAGATAAATAAGCTGTAGAGTTGATATTACTGTCATATTCTCCAACAGTAAACTTTCCATCCCTCCCTCACACAAACAAGTCTCCAATAAGAAAGGAGGAACACTGCAGTAGTCCTGTTGGCCCATACTAGGCAAGTCCTTTACAATCCTTCCCACTAAGAACATAACAATGGAAGAACACTGCAGGTCTACTGGCCCATACAAGGCAGGTCCTTATCAAAATGACCTCTACACAAAGCTACCCAAGAATTTACTCCCGTACCCAATGACATAAATCAAACTCAGCTCCTCCCACTCATATATTTGTCCAATCTCTTCTTAAAGCTACCCAAGGTCATAGCCTCGATTACCCTACTGGTAAGTGTGATGTTAAATAAGAACATAAGAACTTAAGAAAGTAGGAACACTGCAACACCCCTGCTGGCCCATACTAGGCAGGTCCTTCACAAATCCAACCCACTAACAGAACAAATGCTACCCAAGCAATAAGCTCAGGTGAAAGTCTGACTCAAATCCAACCCCTCTCACTCATGTATGTATTTATCCAGCCATAGCTTTTAGAACATAAGAAAGGAGGAACAGTGCAATAGGCCTGTTGGCCCATACTAGGCCGGTCCTTCACAAATCCAACCCACTAACAGCATAACTGCTATACTCAAGCAATAAGCTTTGATAAACCTATTTACTCAGGTGCAAGACCGATTCAAAGCCAACCCCTCTCACTAATGTATTTATCCAACCTAAATTTGAAACTACCCAATGTTTTAGCTTTGATCGCCCTACTAGGCAGACCGTTCCACTCATCAACTACCCCTATTACCAATGTTCATTTATACATTTTATTAGTGCTCTACATTTATTTGGCATTCTTTTCTGCGTGTAAATCTATATTTAAGCTAGGTAAGTGGCCCCTGAAGTGACCTAGAGTCATAAGAACATAAGAAAGGAGGAACACTGCAGCAGGCCTGTTGGCCCATACTAGGCAGGCCCTTTACAATTCATCCCACTAACAAAACATTTGCCCAACCCAATTTTCAATGCTACCCAAGAAATTGTCGGTATTATATACCATTCTTGAACAACCAAGAAATAAGCCCTGATATGCAAGTCCCACTCAAATCCAACCCTTCTCACTCATGCATTTATCCAACCTCTCCTCCTTATGGAGGGGGATTCCCCTTCCAAACAATAACCTCTCTTCCCTCTCTCCTCCTCCCTGTCTTCCATTCTTCAACAACAGCCTTCAATAAAGGTAACTGTCATGTTGAATGTTCATTCTTTTGTGCATGTAAATCTATCTTTAAGGTAAAAAAAAATTGTTGATACTTCTGGGTGTCAGGAACGGATTAATTGTATTTACATTATTTCTTATGGGGAAAAATGATTCGAAAATCGTAGATTTCGATAATAGTAGCACCTCCAGGAACGGATTAATTACAAAAAACGAGGGACCACTGTATTACTAAATTTAAAAGGAGAACTCCTTTTCCCTTTTGGGCCACCCTGCCTCAGTGGGATACGGCCAGTTTGTTGGGAAAAAACAAACAAAAATTTTTTGTTGTGAGTCTATGGAATAGGTTGTATATTGGTTTTGTGTGACAGCTGAGTGTGAAATATATGACTCGCAAAATCGTAATAACATGATTGCAAAAAAATACATAACTGGTAAGGTTAGAGCCCATCGCAGGTGAGCCCTAAAACACCAGGCCAGTGTGTAAGCCACTGGGCCAGCTGGCTACACTAAGATTCATTCAGTTAGGTATATTTTTGTACACCATAGGAAGTTAGCATGGACCCCGCTGTGACCACAAATGCAAGTTTTTATAGATGAATCTCCCACCAGCATGGCTGTGGCGAACATATGTAAAAGGTTGAGTGTCATTCTGAATGCAGTTTCTTTAATTAACCCATTTTTTCTTGAACCCCTTAACTGTCCAAATGTAGGTCTACGTTCTCTCGCCCAGCTCTCCGAATATTTTGAATTTTTTTTTTTTTAATGAAGAGGACTTTTTTTTTTACATAAAGTAATGTAAAAAAAAATTTAGCCAGTACTTAGGGAGATATAAGGCTGCAAAGTTGGCGCATGTTGCTCACCTGATGGCAACATGGAGTCCTGCCGCTTGCAGAAGTGTTGCTGATATACCTTTTTTCCTCATTTTCTTTAATTTATATAATTTTTATGTTCTAATAATTACAATTTGTAGTAATTCTTGTGATTTCATAGCCAATGTTTGTTCTGACACTAATATTAGGTACTGAAATACAGTGGACCCCGCCTTACAATATTAATCCGTTCCTGAGAGCTCATCGTGAGCCAAAATTATCGTAAGGCGAATTAATTTTCCCCATAAGAAATAATGGAAATAAAATTAATCCGTGCAAAACACCCAAAAGTCTGAAAAAAAAAATTTTTACCACATGAAATATTAATTTTAATACACACAAGCTTAAGAAGACATGCACAATTAATACTCTACTAAGAATAGAATACATGACACTTACCTTTATTGAAGATCTGGTGATGATTGATGGGACGGGAGGAGGGGAGAGTGTGGAAGTTATTGTTTAGAAGGGGAATCCCCTTCCATTAGGACTTGAGGTATCAAGTCCTTTTCTGGGGTTACTTCCCTTCTTTTCTTTTAATGCCACTAGGACCAGCTTGAGAGTCACTGGACCTCTGTCGCACAACAAATTTGTCCATAGAGCTCCGTACCTCCCGTTCCTTTAAGATTTGCCTAAAATGGACTACAACATTGTCATTGTAATAGTCGCCAGCACGGCTTGCAATAGCTGTGTTAGGGTGCTTTTCATCCATAAAGGTTTGCATTTCAACCCACTTTGCACACATTTCCTTAATCTTTGAAGTAGGCACAATGGATTCCACAACTGGCATAGGCCTCTCAGGGTTAGCCCCAAACCCTTGAAAATCTTTTTTTAATTTCCATACTAATTCTCACCCTTTTTACCACAGGGTTGGCACTAGAAGCTTTCTTGGGGCCCATGGTGACTTATTTTGCAGTTACAAGCACAAAAAACACTGGGATAAGGTGAAATGTACTGAATGTATGCGTGGATGCGACCGCACTGGCTAGCTTGTAAACACTGGCGCTGAGGCCACACGTGGGACACGTCCCAGACGAATCGTGTGAAGTGAGTTTATTAGCATGAGGCGAGGCAAAATTTTTGCGTTCAAATGTATCGTATGGCAGATTTAACGTAACGCGATGCCATCGTAAGGCGGGGGTCCACTGTACTACTCAAATAGTCACAAACACACTGGCAGGTGAACATTTTGACCTACCTTGGTCACCTACTATTGTCTAGAAATACAGTGGTACCCTGAGTTTCGGCCATAATTCGTTCCCGAAGGCTATTCGAGTGCTGTTACCGAACGAATTTGTTCCCATGAGGAATAACGTAAATTAGATTAGTCCGTTTCAGGCCCCCAAAAATACTCTTACAAAAGCACTTACAATAATACACTTACATAATTGTTCGAGTTGGGAGCTGTACGAAACTCGGGATACCACTGTATATACAACGTATTTATAGGTCCCAGCAATGTTTTAGACATGCTGGAGTACACATGAAATTCCTTGAAGCATCGTGTAAGATGAGTGTCTCTCCACTGCTGACAGTGCAGCAGTGGAGTGACGCTTGATGATTGTGCACTGCCTTGGCTGTTTGTTTGTTTTCACTGTTACATATAAACATGTCTATCTGTCTGTCTATTTATCTATTTGTCTGTCTATTTTGTTTGTCAAACACATATTACACGTTCCAGAATTGTTTCTCTTTTCTTAGGGTATAGGTTATAGGACATTCTGGAAGGATGACATTACCAGTGGTATGAAAATTGAAAGGATATTGCACAAATGTTGCACATGGATTATCATCAAGGTTTTTGATATTTCCTCGACCACTTGTGGCCACACCCATCTCAAAGCCACTAAACTCAGGGTCAGCATCACTTTCCTCTTAACAGGGGAGTGTTAATACAACATGCCATCAGTGAATCACTGGTGTTTGCCATGCTGTTTGCTCTAGCTGGAGCTCAATTGAACTGGTGCTCCCACAAGATATTAATACTGTGCACACCGAATGTTAAGACTCATTCTATACTGACCAGGCATCTCAGGCCAATCGTCCCAAATTTGGAGGGAGGAAAAATAAAACGTAGATCTACATTTGGAGCGCTAGTGGTAGGAATGTAGATCTACGTTTGGACAGTTAGAGAGTTAATACAGTACTTTTCTATTTTTTGTGTGAGTGCTTTACTACCCTATGAAAGTTAGAAATAGGTCAGGAATAATGGTAAAGTAACTCTATCCCTTTCCCCATAATAATATACTGTATATTGTTAGGTCCTGCAGGGTAAAACCTGCAAAAGTAATGAGTAAAAATTTTGTGGCTTTGTGGATACTCTACTGAGATATTAGAAGAAAATCTTATTTTAACATTTTTTTTTTTGTGGCTAGTGTGCAAATTTATTTTTAAGCTAAAAGCTACATAAAAATTGTATTTTTTTTATCTCAATTTTAAGCTGTAGTAATGTAATCTGGAGAACTCGTGTTTCAGGTTTCTCTCATCCGAATGACCTCAGATGGCAGACTGCCCCCAGCTGAACGCCGTAACTACAAGAGTGTGTTTCATGCTCTCTTTAGAATAACTCGGGAAGAGGGTGTGTTAACATTGTGGAGGGGTGCTATACCCACCATGGGGCGAGCCATGGTGGTCAATGCTGCTCAGTTGGCATCATACTCTCAGGCCAAGCAGGCACTCTTAGGAACTGGTAAGATTATCTAACAAATTTTTTTTCAGAGGTTAAAAGTGAAACTGAATTAGTGCATGTGCAACACATGGAAACATGAGACATGAAAATTGGATTGCTTTATCTTCATAGAATATAGAATCAGAATATAATGTTCCATTTAAATAATTTCTTTAGTTTAAAATAGGTTGGGGATAAATAATGAGAAGAAGTAATGAAAAGTAATAAGCATTCCCTTTAAATTTGCAGGTATAGTTTCTAAGAGGTTCTAGCAAAATCCAGTACATAATGGCAAATATCACTACAGTGTGTCTATAAATTTTTAAAAATCCAATTGCATCTCATTTTGTTTCAAAGGCTGTATTTCTTTGAAGTATCACTCAAACCTCAGTAATATTGTCATTCATAAGAAAAAACATCTAGTAAGGTGAAAGATTTGGGCATAGAAACTCCAGTGAGTACATTTTCAACAGTATTCTGTGGTTGGTTTTTGTTTTGCAATGAAGGGGGGAGGTTGAGTGCATTATCACAAAAGAATGGGCATCATAAAAATAAGTAAGTTATTGCAAATTAAGATACTGCAGATTTGTAGGTGTCATATGATAAAGTATATGCAGTCTGTGTGGAAAGTTATTATGCCAGCTGCAAGACAAACTTTTGATCATTGAAACATATGGTAATAGAATGTTGAAGTCTAGTATTTCTAGAAGTTTTGGGAACTACTTGGACTTCAGTTGCAAGTGAGGCCATGCAGTTTCAAGAGTAGCCTCATGTGCCGTTGGGTTGAATTCTACACTGTGTTCAGTGAAGCTTAGATAATGGAGTATTGGATGGGTAATAATGTTAGAAGAGGACAGTGTTTTGTTCTCTTCTAACATTGTTATTAGTTACATACCCAGTCATCTGAGGTTTATTGAACATAGTGCAGAATTCCACCCAAATGCTGATGAGGCCACTCTTTAAGCTGCTTGGCCTCATTTGCAATTGGTTATTCCCAAAATTTATAGAAAGTCAAGACTAACCAATCATCTGTTGTCATATGTTTCAGTGATATAGTTTGTCTTGTAGGCTGTGTCATAGCTTTCCATGCAGGCTGCATTATATAAGTACAGTGATGTAGTGATATAGTTTGTCTTGTAGGCTGTGTCATAGCTTTCCATGCAGGCTGCATTATATAAGTACAGTGATGTGTACATTGTATACAGCCTCTCCTCACATGATGACTGGGTTCCATTCCTAAGAGTAGGTTAATAAGAGAATTGGTCGTTAAGTGAGGAGCATACTATACTGGTAGTGGGTTTGTGTCAACCATCTTTAGATATTTTTTAATGTCACCTTTGCACCATTTATAACATTTTTAGTATATTTTTAAATGTTTATACAAAAGTGTACAGGTCGGCCATCACAAATCCGGCATCATTGGGACCTGTAGGGTGCCAGATTAGTGACTTTGCTGGATTACCCAATTTACACCCTATTTTTAGCCCATTCCATTGTTCCAGTCTACCAAACTCATAGCTATTTTGCTAGTATTCATTCTGTAGTGCTGTTTAACCCTTTAAGGGTTGAGAGCCTCGATCTTGGACTCGTTCTCAGGGTTGAGAAATATTAAAAAAAAAAAAAAAAATTTTCTTACCAAAATCTTAAGAATAATTTTCCAAGTGTTACAGGCCAAAAAAAAAAAAAAAAAAAATTTGCGATCAATACTTACCGAGATATAGAGGCATGAAGTTGACAGAAAGTGAACTGCTCATGGCAACATCGCTAACTGCCGATGTGGTACCTCGGGATACGAACAGCTCAAAATGCGAACAACTATGTAAGTGTATTTATGTAAGTGCTTTTGTAAGTGTATTGTTATGAGTCTGAAACAGATTAATCTAATTTACATTAATCCTTATGGGAACAAATTCGTTCGGTATCAGCACTCGAACAGCCTTCTGGAATGAATTATTCAAGTTCGTATCCCGAAGTACCACTGTACAGTGGACCCCCGGTTAACGATATTTTTTCACTCAATAAGTATGTTCAGGTGCCAGTACTGACCGAATTTATTCCCATAAGGAATATTGTGAAGTAGATTAGTCCATTTCAGACCCCCAAACATACACGTACAAACGCACTTACATAAATACACTTACATAATTGGTCGCATTTGGAGGTAATCGTTATGCGGGGGTCCACTGTATTATATTTACTATTAATCTACTTTTTTCTTTTATTTTTTAATGTTTTATTTCTTCAAGTAACTTTTATGGTTTATGAGACCTGGAGTTTACCTGGAGAGAGTTCCGGGGGTCAACGCCCCCGTGGCCTGGTCTGTGACCAGGCCTCATGGTGGATCAGAGCCTGATCAACCAGGCTGTTACTGCTGGCTGCACGCAATCCAATGTACGAGCCACAGCCCGGCTGGTCAGGTACTGACTAGGTACTTGTCCAGTGCCTGCTTGAAGACAGCCTGGGGTCTATTGGTAATCCCCCTTATGTATGCTGGGAGGCAGTTTAACAGTCTCGGGCCCCTGACACTTATTGTATTGTCTCTTAACGTGCTAGTGACACCCCTGCTTTTCACTGGGGGGATGTTGCATCGTCTGCAGATTCTTTTGCTTTCGTTGTGAGTGATTTTCATGTGCAAGTTCGGTACTAGTCCCTCTAGGATTTTCCAGGTGTATATAATCATGTATCTCTCCCGCCTGCATCCCAGGGAGTACAGGTTCAGAAACTTCAAGCGGAGTTATTGAAATTTCTCATCATTGAACTTCATATTGTTTTCTCGAGCCCATTGAAAGATTTGGTTGATGTCTGCTTGGAGCCTTGCAGTGTCTGCAATGGAAGACACTGTCATGCAGATTCGGGTGTCATCTGCGAAGGAAGACACGGTGCTGTGGCTGACATCCTTGTCTGTGTCAGATATGAGGATGAGAAACAAGATGGGAGCGAGTACTGTGCCTTGTGGAACAGAGTTTTTCCGTAGCCGCCTCAGACTTTACTCTGTTGACTACTACTCTTTGTGTTCTGTCTGCGAGGAAATTATAGATCCATCTACCAACTTTTCCTGTTATTCCTTTACCATGCATTTTGTGCGCTATTACGCCATGATCACACTTGTCGAAGGCTTTTGCAAAGTCTGTATATATTACATCTGCATTCTTTTTGTCTTCTAGTGCATCTAAGATATTGTATATATATTCACTGGTTGTATACAACACAATAACCTCACAAATATTGTTATCATTGTATTGTTTACAAAACACCTACACACAAACCAACAATAAAAAAGTTGTTTAATACTTTTGTTCTATAATGTATATACATGTACATATATATAGTCACTGGACACGTTCCTGGAACTGCTAGAGCTTCTGGAAGCTTGTTGCTGTGTGTGGGTGGACTTGTAAATGTGCTGAGTCACAATGACTCATTATATCATCACTCACTACCCTCACTGCCTTTGCCAACACCCATGAGGACCCATGCCTTCTCATCAGAATGGATGAGAAGTCACTTTGTCTGACTTGGGTTATCCTAGGTTGATGGTCATCTGGGTTGTCCTTCCTTCCTACCTTCCTTCTTTACTTCTTCCTTCCTTACTTCTTCCTTCCTTCCTCTCATCTCTTCCTTCCCTTTTTCCTTCCTTCTGGTTTCCTGGGCATTGCTTTCAGTCACAAGCTCCTCAGAACCATAAAATTCATCTTCACTGACGCTTCCATCTGTCTAAGAACTGTCACTTGGGAAAATAAGAGTCCCAATTCACTGGGGAGTGAGGTATTTCTTACCACAAGGCATGGTGAACAAGGCGTACTGAAATGGCATTCCCACAATGCACCACTGCCTCCAAGATTTTTTTTTATACTTCACACAGTGACCATGCAGACCCATTCTCTCACATGTAGGCCTACCAGCTTTCTCCCGCTCGATTTGAAGGTGCTAGAATTTACGCATATAAGTACGTGACCGACCCCGGGTGTTAAGATGCACATGTACGTGACCGACCATGAAAGGGTTAAGTTCAGTAAGGTTTATACAAGTGTTGCACTGAACCTTAGCTTCAGTGCAACTCTTGCAAGAACAGTTCTTGCAAGGGTTGTTGCAAGATCTGTTCTTGTTTCTGGCTTGTTATACAAAATGGCTAGCTGGTTTATTATGCGTTAAAACCCATCGCCTACACAATGGCCTTTAACCCTTAAACTGTCCAAGCAGATCTACGTTCACATGCGTAGTGCTCCAAAAGTAGATCTACTTTTTTTTTTACATATTTTCAAATATAACACAAAAAAAAAGTAGATCAAAGTTTTTTTTACATGTTTTCAAATAAAAAAAAAAAAAGATCTACTTTTTTTACATACTTTCAAATGTTGAAAAAAACGTAGGTCTACGTTTGGACAGTTTAAGGGTTAAGGACCTCAATAGAAATAAGTCACTTTGACTAACCTTTTTAGGTTATCCTAGGTTCTCTCCTCGTGCTGCTATGTATGATAATCTATGTACTAACTGTATTTGTGTATACCTGAATAAACTTACTTATTTACTTACCTCTATTCGTTCGAATGAGTACAAGAAACCGCCCATTCACCTGTTTCAACTACCCAATAAAGTGGTCAGAAATTGGCAATTTGGCCAATTTTACACAAATTCCTAAAGATGTCAATTTTAAAATAGGGTCCAGAATAAACAGTCCAGACATTCCTGACACTAAAATAACATTTTCTCCATTCATTAGTCATGCTCTTGGCCCCTCTTATATTACTCTTGCTTTCCATTTTGAATTTTTATTCTTACAAAAAAATAGATTTACTGTTATGCAGACTACTGCATTTTGTAATAGTTGTATAAATAATGTCAACCCATTCATGACTGCATACGAGACTGGCCAGTTGGACACGTATTGGATGGTGATGTCATTTGTTTACTCTTGAACATCGGCAAAAATCAAACATTTCTGCTACTTTGAGCTCAATTTCAAGGTACTTTTCATCATGAAACCAATCAAAATCATATCTATTTCTGTAATATATCTTCCA